TCCTTTAGGTTGAGAAAGCAAGGATTGGACAGACCTCTCGAGGTCTACAGGAAGGACCTGAAGAATGGACTTAGGAGAGCTTGAAGGGGGTATGAAAAAACATTGGCGGGTAGGATGAAGGAAAACCCCAAGGTGTTTTATGCTAATGTGAGGAACAAGAAGATGGCCAGAGTGAGGGTAGAGCGTTTCAGGGATAGTGGAGGGAACTTGTGTGTGGAGTCAGAGGAGGTAGGGGAGGTCCTTATTGAATACTTTGCTTTAGTATTCACCAGTGAGAGGGACCTTGACATTTGTGAGGACAGCATGAAACAGGCAGATATGCTCAAACAGGTTGATGTTAGGAAGGAGAATGTGCAAGAAATTTTGAAAAGCATGAGGATAGATAAATCCCCTGGGCCAGGCGGGATATACCCAAGGTTACTATGGGAAGCGAAGGAAGAGATTGCTGCCCCTTTGGCGATGATCTTTGCATCCTCACTGTCCACTGGAGTTGTACCAGATGATTGGAGGGTGGCAAATGTCATTCCTTTGTTCAACAAAGGGAATAGGGATAATCCTGGAAATTACAGACCAGTCAGTCTTACTTCTGTGGTGGGCAAATTATTGGAGAGGATTCTGAGAGATAGTATTTATGATTATTTGGAAAATCACAGTTTTATTGGAAATAGTCAGCATGGCTTTGTGATGGGCAGGTCATGCCTCACAAGCCTTATTGAATTCTTTGAGGATGTGACAAAACACATCGATGAAGGTAGAGCAATGGCTGTGGTATATATGGATTTTAGCAAGGCATTCGATAAGGTTCCACATGGTAGGCTCAGGAGGCATGGGATTCAGGGAAATTTGGCTGTCTGGATACAAAACTGGCTGTCCAAAAGAAGACAGAGGGTGGCAGTAGATGGAAAGTATTCAGCCTGGAGCTCGGTGACCAGTGGTTTTTCGCAGCGATCTGTTCTGGGACCTCTGCTCTTTGTGATCTTTATAAGTGACTTGGATGAGGAAGTGGAAGGGTGGGTTAGTAAGTTTGCCGATGACACAAACGTTGGTGGAGTTGTGGATAGCGCAGAGGGCTGTTGTAGGCTGCAATGGGACATTGACAGGATGCAGATCTGAGCAAAGAAGTTGCAGATGGAATTCAACCCAGAAAAGTGTGAAGTAATTCATTTTGGAAGGTTGAATTTGAATGCAGAATACAGGGTTAATGGCAGGATTCTTGGCAGTGTGGAGGAACAGAGGGGTCTTGGGGTCCACGTCCATAGATCCCTCAAAAGTTGCTACCCAAGTTGACAGGGTTGTAAAGAATGCGTATGGTGTGTTGGCTTTCATTGGCAGGGGTATTGAGTTTCAGAGCCACGAGGTTATGTTGCAGCTCTATAAAACCCCGGTTAGACCACACTTGCAATATTGTGTTCAGTTCTGGTCACCTCATTACAGGAAAGATGTGGAAGCTTCAGAGAGGGTGCAGAGAAGATTTATCAGGATGCTGCCTGGACTGGAGGGCAGGCCTTATGAGGAAAGGTTGAGGGAGCTGGGGCTTTTTTCATTGGAGCAAAGAAGGATGAGAGGTGACTTGATAGAGGTGTACAAGGTGATGAGAGGCATAGATAGATTGGATAGCCAGAGATTTTTTCCCAGGGCGGAAAAGGCTATTATGAGGGGGCATAATTTTAAGGTGATTGAAGGGAGATGTCAGAGGTAGGTTCTTTACACAGAGAGTGGTGGGCGTGTGGAATGCACTGCCGGTGGTGGTAGTGGAGTCAGATACATTCGGGACATTTAAACGACTCTTGGATTGGCACATGGATTTTAGTATAATGTAGGATACGCAGGGTCGTTTGATCTTAGTAGGGTAATAGATCGGTACAACATTGTGGACCAAAGGGCCTGTACTGTGCTGTATTGTTCTATGTTCTATGTTTTAATTCCAAAGTACAAAAACAAAGTTGCTGGAAAAGCTCAGCAGGTCTGTGAAGGGAAAAACAGAGTTAATGTTTCGGGTCCGGTGACCCTTCCTCAGAACTGATTCCAAAGTAGCAAATCTATATTTCGATCTGTTACATACTTTGAATGAAGGTGACTGTTTCTCTTTAAGATGCTTAAGTTTTAAAAATAAAACTAATCTAACTGAAGCCTAACCCTATCCAACTTTGACAATGAAATGACAAAAGTGGCTTCACATTTGTAACAGTGGACCTCTTTGAAGCACTTGTTCTGTCTTAACATTGGATGGAGTTTGAAACGATGAGGGATGACCTAATTGAAACTTAAAGAATACTGAACAGCCTGGAGAAGTTTTTTTTTCTCTATTCATTCATGGAATGTGGGCATCACTGACAAGGCAGCATTTATTGCCCATCCCTAATTGCACAGAGGGCAGTTCAGAGTCAACTACATTGCTGTGGGTCTGGAGTCTCATGTAGGCCAGACCAAGTAAGGATGGCAGTTTCCTTCCCTAAAGAACATTAGTGAACCAGATGGGTTTTTCCCGCCAATCGACAATGGATTCATGGTCATCATTAGATTCTTAATTCCAGATATTTTATTGGATTCAAATTCCACCATCTGCCGTGGTGGGATTTGAACCCGGGTCACCAGAATGTTGTTCAGTCTCTGGATTAACAGTCCAGCGATAATACCACTAGGCCATTGCCTCTCCTTAATGAACCCTGGAATTTATTGCCATAGAGGGCTGTGGAGGCCAGGTCATTGAGTAGATGTAAGACAGAGATAGGTTCTTGATTGTCAAGAGGTCCCAAAGTTACGGGGAGAAAGAGGGAGAATGGGAAAAACCTAGCAGCCATGATTGAAATGAGTCGAGGTAACTCTCCATCGGATGAAGCTAGACTCGAAACGTCAGCTTGCTTTCAATCCATGGATGCTAATGACCTGCTGTGATCTCTAGCATATTTTTTTTTCAAGTCATGACCTTACTTCGGGCTAAGGAAAATATGGCATATTTCACTTGACAAGCAGAATGCAGATACAGGCACAGGCACACATGATGCAGTATGAGTGCCTAATATTGACTGTTGTTAAACAATATAATATTAATTAATACTTTGTTTGCTTGATAACTACATTAACCAAATTATGAACTAATTATTGAAGAATAAACTGTGGATTCTACCATAGGATATTAGAACAAAGAATAGTACAGCACAGGAACAGGCCCTTCGGCCCTCCAAGCCTGTGCCAACGCATTTTGCCCTTCCATACTAAAACTGTCTTTACTTACAGGATTTGGGAATAGCCTAACGATGATCAACTATTACTGAGAATTCACGATTGTGGAATTGTTGGAAATGTTCTTTCCAGCATTGATGGATGATGTTATCATCTTTGAGAGTCACCAATCTGTGAGCAAAGAGGACTTTGTCCATTTGTCCTCAGTCCAGAGATGGCCTTTGTGGTTTCAAAAATAATGCTTTGCATTTCTTAACAGACACATAGAAAATAGGAGTAGGATAAAGCCATTTGGGCCTTGGAGCCTTCTATGCCATTCAACATAATCATGGCAGATCATTTAAATGTCTCTCTCCCTATAGTCCTTGACACTTTTAGACTCTAGAAATATATACGTTTATATCCAATGATTTGGCCTCCACAGCTTTCTGAGGGAGAGAATTCCAGGGGTTCACCATCTTCTGAGTTAAAAAATTTTACCTCATCTCAGTCCAAAATGCCCTACCCTGCATTCTGAAGCCTTGAACCTTTGGTAAACCCTGGTTGAGGAAAACAGCATCCCTGCACCTGGTCTGTTCAGTCCTTTCTGATTTTTGTATTGCTGAAAGAAAGGCACATTTTGTTGAAGCTTGTCATCTTGACATTGAAGCTTTCATCAGGACATTTTGTAAGTAACAGACATACCCCTTATGATCAACAGAGACCCTGAGATTATGAAACAAGTAGGCCATTTGTTTCTATCACAATTCAATCTGACCATGATTGACCTTCTTCCTCAGTCACATTTTGCTGCAGTATCCCTATATCCCTTGATTCCATACAGAACTAAAATCGTGACCATCTGCAACTTTCATATAGTTGACGATTGAATTTCTCTCCTAAACATTAAAGATTAAATCCTGCAAAGCATATGGAAGATATAGTAAAAGTTTCAAAAGGGAACTGGATAAATTACTTGAAATGGAACATTTGAAGAGAAAGGGATGAAGTAGAAAGGGAAGCTGGATTATATTGACAACCCTTACAAAGAAAAATCAAAAGTGCATTCGGCCAAATTGCACTCTGGGCTGTTGCAAGCCATGCCCCCATGAGATGCCATTGAGGAGTGAAAGCTTTTACTTCATTTAATTCTGTCAGTAAACATAAAATGATACAGCACAGGAGACCATTTGGTCTCTTGTGCCTGTGCTGCCCAACCAATTAATCTCACTCCCCTCTTCATTCCTAGAATTTTTTTTTCGCAAACCTGAGCTAAATTGGGTTTGAACATTTCACCTTCTAGGCTATGTGATTTAATTCGCTTTTCAAATATTTCCATTTAGTATATGATCTACTAATCTACACTTGGAATAATAAGCATTTTGAAGGATGCTTACCTTTTAATTACTGAAGTTCATGTGATTGGTCAGTTTTCAGACCTGTTGATGTTTTTATGATTCTTCCTGTCCTTGTTTTCACTAATACTTCATTGTGTGGAAGCAAATACTCAGAGATTGGAAATGAATGATCCTTTGACACCTGTGAATGGTGAGCCTTTGACAGTCAGATGCAAACCTTGTATTGCTGTTCCATTGTGCAGTGATTGAGGAAGTGGCGGTTCCTGGAGGAGACGTAAATATAAAAATTTAATATTACATCTGTAATAACAACTTGCATTCATTTGGTACCTATACTGTAACAAAATAATTATGAAAGGATCTCCAGTTTGACTTTTAGAGGATTTGAGTGAAATTATTAATGTAATAGTTTTCCAGTTCCGTAAAATGCCAAATATGGACAGTTAATTACTGATTTTTAAAAATTTTTATTATTTTCAGGTTGCAGATTTGGGCTGTGCTGAATGTACGCTGCTGTCACGCTTAAAATTCTGCAACTGCATTGAAGACCTTATTGGAGTCGATACTGACTTAGAACTGCTGAAGGAAAAAATGTAATGTCTTTTTGATAAATGCTGATCTGAAAGTTTCTGACAGCGTTAGAATAGTTATTCTGTTACGTCCTTTTGTCCTATTCAGAAGAAGCATTGTCCACCTTCTTAGATTAGAATTGTGCAAACTAATTAAAAAGGTGGATGTCCTATTGACAGATTTCTGAAATTAGCAACACTGGAGGAAATAATAAATAGTGAAACAAACAGAAAGCTGGAGAAACTTTAGCAGCATCTGTGAAGAGAAATAAAATTAACTTTTGATTTAATTTACTTATTGTTGTCACATGTACCTAAATACAGTGAAAAATTTTGTTTTACGGAGCAGTGCATCCAGATCATAACATGCAATGACATACAGATCATAGGGTAGTTAGACAGAGTGAAGCATACAAGTTATGGCTGCACAGGAAGTGCACAAAAGCAAGGTCAACATTATATTTGAAATTAGAGCGGTCCATTCAAAAGGCTAACAACAGCAGGGAAGAAGCTGTTCTTGAACTGTTGGTATGTGTGTTAAAGCTTCTGTATTTTCTGCCTGATGGAAGAGATTATTAATGGAGTGGGAGTGGTCTTTGATGATATAGGCAGCCTTTCCGCAGCAGTGAGAAGTGTAGATGGAGTTTGGAATGAATTCTTGGAACTATTCTGAGTAACCTCAATAACGTGTCATTTTTCTCAGCTGTTAACTGACTGCAAGTTCAATTTTTTTCTTTAAAATATATCAGTCCTTACATAGACCATAACAATTGTGTTTCCCGGGATCTGAACATCTTTCCTGCTAATAGTAGTTTAGGGTTTAGAATCCTACCTGTGGAAGTCTGAGAGCACAGGAGCCGGGGGCGCTGGAGAGTAGCCGCCCGCAGGGGTGTCAAACAGTGATCAGTGGCTTCGCATGGTTGTTATTGTGGGTAGGGCAAGGCTGGATCTCTCTGAATCGTGAGACCTGTCAGACATTGAATCCAACAGAAGACGCTGGTGAGAAGTGAGTAAGGACGAATCTGGGATGAGTTGGCTCATTCACCAACAGCTGCCCAGAAGTGAATAAATGAGAGTCAAGCTCTAGAGGAGGCACGATTTTGAGAAGGGCTGCTTTGTTGTTGAGGTGTTGCTGGAGGTTTAAGTGTGGGTTTTAGTGAATACCGGGCTTCAGTGAGGAGGACGATCATCAACGAGGTCAGGGTAAGGGAAGGTTCTGTTCTTTGTCTTACTGTGAAGGGTCAGAGATGGTAGTTAGGACAGTGGTCGTCTCCTTCTGCCAGATGTGGGAGATTAGACACAAAGACTTGTTTTATAACTAAAGTATATTTTTGAAATTTAAAACAGGTCTGGTTCAAATAAGAGATGCTTTTGATTTATTAGAATAGTCAAACTCTAATGTTTGTTTGTTTCCTTGGTATGATACTGCACAGAACCGAACTGCACTTGTGACTATGTATATATAAATATGTTTTTTATGAATAAAGTATATTTTGATATTTAAAAATTGTGGGAGATCAAGGAGTAGTCCAGTGTCCCTGAAGACTATGTCAGCAGGAACTGTGACGGGCAAACCATGTAGTTCGTTTGGAGAGGCAGTTGGATTGAATGAAGAGCATACAGGGGGCAGAGAGTGTGATAAACACGAGTTGCAGTGACGTGGTCACACCACAGGAACAAAAACAAAGTTGCTGGAAAAGCTCAGCAAGTCTGGCAGCATCTGTGAAGGAGAAAACAGTAACTCTGTTTCAGGTGCGGTGATGCTTCCTCAGAACTGATGGTAGCTGGGAAAACATCAGTTTATATGCAGAAAATAGGGAGGTGGGTGGGGTAGGGAGTAAATGATAGGATAGAACCCAAAGAGAGGGAAAGACAGTTGGCCAGACAAAGGAGTTGCTAACGATCAGGCTGGGAGGGTGAGTAGTTGTTAATGGGGACTGTTAGTGACTAACAACAGGGGATGTGTAATGGCAGGCTATGTGGTAACAAGGCCTGGTGTATGGGGTGGGGAGCTGAGAAGTGGGAGAGTTTAGGCCCTAAAATTATTGAATTCAATATCGAGTCTGGAGGGCTGTCGGGTCCCCAAGCGGAAAATGTGGTGTTGTTCCTCCAGCTTGCAATGGGCTTCACTGGAACACTGCAGCAAGCCAGACGCAGAGATGTTGGCCAGGGAGCAGGGTGGTGCATTGAAGTGGCAGGCAACAGGTAGTTCAGGGTCTTTTTTTGCGAGCAGAACGTAGATGTTCTGCGAAGCGGTCACCAAGTCTACGCTTCGTTTTCCCAATGTAGAGGCGGCCACATTGTGAGCAGAGAATGCAGTGGACTAGATTCTGGGAAGTGCAGGTGAAGTGTTGCTTCACCTGGAAGGTATGTTTGGGCCCTTGGATGCTGGGGAGGGAGGAGCTAAATGCGCAGGTGTTGCACCTTCACCGGTTACAGGGGAAGGTGCCGTAGGGCTGTGGGGAGGTGTTGGGGGTGAAGGAAGTGTGGACCAGGGTGTCCCGGAGGGAACGGTCCCTGCGGAAGGCGGACAAGGGAAGGGAGGGGAATATGTGTCTGGTGGTGGCATCTTGCTGGAGGTGGCGGAAATGACGTCTGATGATCTTCTGGATGTGGATGCTGGTGGGATGGTAGGTGAGGATAAGGGTACCCTATCGCTGTTGCGGGAGGGAAGAGAATGGATGAAGGCGGAAGTGCGGGAGATGGGTCGGACCTGGTTGAGGGCCCTATTGACAACGGAGCTGGGGAATCCTCGGTTGAGGAGAAGGTGGACATTTCGGAGGCTCCTTTGTCGAAGTTGGCCTCATCTGAACATATGCGACGGAGATGGAGGAACTGAGAGAATGGGATGGAGTCTTTACAGGAAGTGGGGTGTGAGGATGTATAGTCCAGGTAGCTGTGGGAGTCAGTGGGTTTGTAATGGATATTAGTGGCCAGTCTATCCCCAGAAATGGAAACAGAAATGTCAAGGAAGGGAAGGGAGGAGTCAGAGATAGACCAGGTGAAAGTGAGGGCAGGATGGAAATTGGAAGCGAAATTGATGAAGTTTTCCAATTCCAGACGAGAGAGGGAAGCAGCACTGATGATATCATCGATGTATCAGAGAAGGAGTTGTGGGTGGGGGCTGGAATAGGACTGGAACAAGGAATGTTCCATGTACCCCACAAAGAGACAGGCATAACTGGGGCCCATGTGGGTACCCATGGCAACCCCTCTTACCTGAAGAAAATGAGAGGAGTTGAAAGAGAAGTTGTTGAGGGTGAGGACATCTCGCCCAAGCGGACGAGGGTGGTGGTGGGTGGGGATGGTTCAGGTCTTTGCTCCAGGAAGAAGCGGAGAGCCCTAAGACCCTCCTGGTGATGAATGGATGTGTAAAGGGATTGCACATCCATGGTAAAGAAGCTGGAGCCGGTAAACTGGAAGTTTTGAAACTGGCATATGGTGTCAGATGAATCATGGATGTATGTGGGTAGGGATTGGACCGGGGGGAGAAGACTGAGTCAAGGTAGGAAGAGATGAGTTCTGTGGGGCAGGAGCTGGCTGAAACAATGGGTCTGCCTGGACAGTCCTGTTTGTGGATTTTTGGCAGGAGGTAGAAACGAGCTGTGCGGGGTTGGGGGGCTATTATCTTGGAAGCGGAAGGGGGGAGATCACCGGATGAAATGAGATCCGTAACCGTAGTGGATACAATGGCCTGATGTGCCATGGTGGGGTCATGGTCCAGGGGAAGGTAGGAGGAGGTATCCGAGAGCTGGCGCTCAGCCTCTGCAAGGTAGAGGTCAGCACGCCAGACGACAACAGCACCACCCTTATGGGCAGGCTTGATGACAAAGTCAGGGTTAGATCTGAGTGCATGGAGTGCAGTCAGTTCGGAGGGAGATAGGTCGGATTTGTTGAGAGGGGCAGTGAAATTGTGGCGACTAATGTCACGTCGACAGTTCTCAATGAAAAGATCGAGTGCAGGTAAAAGGTCGGAGGGAGGGGTCCAGGTGGAGGGAGAGTGTTGGAGTTGGGCAAAGGCGTCTATGGGACGGGGAGTGGACTCTTGTCCAAAGAAATGAGCACGGAGGCGAAGACGGCGGAAGAAGAGTTCAGTGTCATGTCGTTCAGATGAGGCCAACTTCGACAAAGGTGCCTCCGAAATGTCCACCTTCTTCCTCAACCGAGGATTCCCCAGCTCCTTGTCGACAGGGCCCTCAACCAGGTCCGACCCATCTCCCACACTTCCGCCCTCACCCCTTCTCTTCCCTCCCGCAACAGCGATAGGGTTTCCCTTATCCTCACCTACCATCCCACCAGCATCCACATCCAGATGATCATCAGACGTCATTTCTGCCACCTCCAGCAAGATGCCACCACCAGACACATATTCCCCTCCCCTCCCTTGTCCACCTTCCGCAGGGACCGTTCCCTCCGGGACACCCTGGTCCACACTTCCTTCACCCCCAACACCTCCCCACAGCCCTACGGCACCTTCCCCTGTAACCGGCGAAGGTGCAACACCTGCGCATTTAGCTCCCCCCTCCCCAGTATCCAAGGGCCCAAACATACCTTCCAGGTGAAGCAACACTTCACCTGCACTTCCCAGAATCTAGTCTACTGCATTCGCTGCTCACAATGTGGCCGCCTCTACATTGGGGAAACGAAGCGTAGACTTGGTGACCGCTTCGCAGAACATCTACGTTCTACTCGCAAAAGAGACCCTGAACTACCTATTGCCTGCCACTTCAATGCACCACCCTGCTCCCTGGCCAACATCTCTGCATCTGGCTTGCTACAGTGTTCCAGTGAAGCCCATTGCAAGCTGGAGGAACAACACCTCATTTTCCCTCCAGCCTCCGGACGCGATATTGAGTTCAAAAATTTTAGGGCCTAAACTCTCCCATGTCCCAGCCCCTCACCCCACACACCAGGCCTTGTTACCACATAGCCTGCCATTACACACCCCCTGTTGTTAGTCAATAACAGTCCCCATTAACAACTACTCACCCTCCCAGCCTGATCATTATCAACTCCTTTGTCTG